TCTTAACATACCACTTTAATTGCTTTATAGATTTTCGGTTGGGAGTCACACCCATCCTCACGATAAGTCGAGTACTCCCTAAATTCTTTTTTATTTATTTAAATTTGATTTTTCATGTAAAAAAATGTTAAACTTTGATCGATTATATATTTTTGCAGAGCAAGATTCCTTTTTTATCACAAAGAGCGGCTTTAATATTAAAATAAAGAACACATACCAGACAATCTTCAGACAAATTTGACAGATCTAATCGTGAATCTTAAGATTAGACATAGAATCAGTCATCTCATACAAAGCAACCTGATTCGTTAAATATGAAACAGATAAATTTTAGCCTAAAACGGTCAAAACTGAAACCGTGCATATCATAAGAACTCCAAAAATCCAAACATTTAAACCAAATCTACTCAGACTAAAACAAAAATAAGTACTACTAAAGAAAAAAATAACGTCTTTCCACAAAACATTCCCGGTACAAAGGTGGTTTTGAAGGAGGACGAGCTCTTGGAATATAGCTATATAGGTGAGTACGAACTCCACACCCACTGGAGTGACCGACCAAGGCTGCACGATCCAGCACCGATACAAACTCCCAAACACAACTTGTTCATCTGCCAACGTTATCTTCTCTGACGTAGTTGCAGTGTCAACGTTAGAGATCTTAAAATCTGTAATCTGCCGCTTCAGTCCCATATTGATGGGGGCGGCAGAAAATCTCAATCCCTACAAAGAGGGGAGACGGTCGCTAGATTTTTTTTGCTCTCTGCAAAAAAATCAATAACACCACAATTTTTATTGAAATTTCAGGAGTTTTTTTCAAAAATAATGTTAAATAAAAAACTATTTACAAGATTAAAGCTGGGTTAAAAATATATCCCAGATTACTGCTACCGTTAACCTTGGTTAACCAAAGCCTGCGTGTAGTTGGTTACTCTCTCGTTAAAACGGAAATGAGGAAGCAAAGGGAATGAGTTGGCTAATGACACGCGGGATCATTTTTTTTTAAAAAATCTCAATATTTTTTAAATGGCTATAAGTTTTATATTTAATGTCTGATTTTTACAAGACAAATATCAAAATTCATAATTTTTTATTATCTTTCATATGATATCAATATTGCATATATAAAAATAAAAAAAATTAATACTTTAAAAAAATTCTATTTTAAAATGTTCTAACATTTTAATTTTAAAATGTTAAAAAAATGTATCACATCAATTTTTATTGTATTTCATATGACACTAATATTGTATATACTCTGTATAAAAGGAAGACAATAATTTGAAGATACGGCTACTTGAAGTAAAAAGTGATCTTCACTTAACTAATGTCACTAACGGAGGTGGTTGCCGGAGCTGAGTGCGAGCGGGGTCGGCGTGGCTACTGATAGGTCGGGCGAAGGCAATTTCATTGACCGGAAACGATCATAGTGACATGTTTGCCGACGACAGTGCACGGGCGATGGCTACAATGACACGGCGGTGGTTACAGTGATACGGACGGTGGCTACACTGCTACAGTGACATGAGCGGTGGCTACAATGACACAGGCGGCGGTTGTAGTGACATCATGTTTTCTAATCCTATCCTCCTATACCTAAAAGCACTACACTAGAGAGAGAAATTTCTCCCGCCCAGTGCAAAGGTCTATTCCGTAATTTTCTTTCACCTAAGCTAATCGCCCCTTCCTTCTCCAATTTTCTGCCTTTTCTTTTCTTCTCCAATTCAACCAGAGCAACTCCTATGATTTCCATGAGTTCTTCTTCCACAATCCACGCTTCACTTTCAAATCCATCCGATTCAGGTTAGGGTATGGTCGATTCACCGCGTCACGGTTATGCAATATTGATATCATATGAAAGATAATAAAAAATTATGAATTTTGATATTTGTCTTGTAAAAATCAGACATTAAATATAAAAATTATAGCCATTTAAAAAATATTGAGATTTTAAAAAAGAAATGATCCCACGTGTCATTAGCCATCCAACTCATTCCCTTTGCTTCCTCATTTCCGTTTTAAAGAGAGTAGCCAACTACACGCAGGCTTTGGTTAACCAAGGTTAACGGTAGCAGTAATCTGGGATATATTTTTAACTCAACTCTAATCTTGCAAATAGTTTTTTATTTAACATTATTTTTGAAAAAAACTGAACTTGAGAGAAATAACAAACTAAAACTTCAAGTTCACTCTAATCTTTGCGTTGGGATTCTAGGTGCATGAGCGTTGATGAAACGGAAATAATGCACAGTCCCACCCCTACTAGGCCCACCATGCAAGTGGCTTTTTCCACCACTCATTGCACACGCATGCCATGTGTTTGTGTTGTTGTGCGTGTGAAAGGGAAATATTGTTCTTTACTTTTTGTTTTTTAAACCGCCCAATAATCGATGTGTTTAAATGAGTCTTTCAATGGAGAGAACCATCATCCTCTTTGTTATAGAGATGACAGTATGACACTCTAGGAAACATTGTTTTTCATTTCTACAAAAATACAGTAAAACCAGTGGGGGATCTAGGAAAATTACGTATTGGGGTGCTCTTAATTATATTATATTCGTCAGATTGGACTTTGTCAACTTTCATTTTTTGTGTCCCAAAAAATACATATTGAGGCGTTATCTTATACGGAGTATATTCTAATTTCACACTCAACATTAACTTGAAAAAGTTGAGTAGAATGAAAATTAGCACTAGGTATAATTTTGATTTAGCATATAAGTTATGTTTATGATTCAACATTTAAATTAATTAAATAAAACATAGATTTTATATATCTAGTGATTTTTTCAAAGTAGGAACTTAATGTTTCTAATGCATTTTAAATTTAAAACATATACAAAGTTCAAAAATAGAACTAGGTATGTTCTATTCCCCAAATAGATTTTATTTTTTATTTTTTTAGTCCTATTAAAAGAATAAAGTGATTAAACTTCCCAAAATAGAAGTTAATTAGTCACATTTTGAGAATTAAACAAAGATAGTAATATTTACTGACTTAATTTTTGTTTTAGTCCTATTAGAAAATTTTCTCTTTTTTATAAATTATGACTAGTTCCCTAACCACTAAAATTATGCAATTAAAAGGGGCTAAAATTCATTAATAATACGCCGTATAAAACTAAACAACATTTGTCACATACTATTTTGAAAAAGAGTCAAATAAGGTCCTCCATTATTATAAAATCGTTACATAAAGTCATGTACTAAATAAAGTGTCATATAAATATAAAAGCAATTGGATGAGTCCTAATGACCTTTTGATAACCTCGTAATCCCGGTTTTAATGTACGTCTAACAATCTTTTGAAAATAGATTACAAGATTGACATGAAAATAGATTACAATCCAAAAATAAAAACATGTAAGCTAAAATCGGATTAGGAGGGTGTCAACGGGTCGTTACGACTCATTTGATTGCTTTTTATTAGTAGATGTATTTACATGACACTCTATTGAGTACACGACCTTATGTGACGATTACGTAACAGTAGAAGACCTTATTTGACTCTTTCCCCAATACAGTTCTAATTATTTCTGCGCAAAAATAAGATTCTTTCATTCACATGCAATAAAAATTTATTTATTCCTCTTTATTTGTGATTAAATAAATTTTATCCTGAATATTGCTTGAAACCACCTTTAGGCATTTAACATTGAAAAACTACATCATTTAAATTATATTAATTTAATCTCATTTAGACTCAACAATATACACATCGAATTTATTTTCTTATTATTCTATATGACTTGATTTTCCTCATTTAAATTTGCTTGGACAAAAATAAACACGAATATACTTATATATGGTTGATTTAGTCAAATAAAAATGTTATAAGGAATACTACGTATAAGGTAGTCTAATTATTTTATTTGGGGCATCACAAAATATTTAATGGGGGCAAACCTTAGCTTTTTTGGAGATATATATTTATTATACTTGTATTACTTACGGAGTGTTAAAAAATGGAGTTTATTGGGGGCAAGTGCCCCCATTACCTTGAGCGTACGTCAGCCCCTGAATAAAACCCAAATAAGAATATCATTTAAGGGTATATATTACATAAATTAAGGGCAAATAAAAAATGCCAACCTAAGACCTTCATCTACAAAGGGATGTGATTTGCTTTTAAGGAAAAAATAGAAATGTGTGGTTGATATTGAATCGATAAAGTGTGAATAAAGTATAAAAGAATTGTAATCATTCAAATATTATCAAATATGGTATGAGACAAATTTAATGGGACATGTCGAGAAGGTAAAATGGAAGAAAGTTATGGCGACAAAGGGAGTATATTGTTTTATCGCTCAAGGTATACTGTATATTTGTCATGAATAAGAACACTAGTTCCCTCCTTTTTACGCTTTTACAGTACTATATGTGTGATTTACCGTGATGAGTGATAATTTATTTCCTCCCTTGATTATATATTCATTTTAATAATTAAATTCTGATCTACATAATAAGAAACCGCTAGAAACTCTATTGTATCGCAAAAACCAAATTCGTACACGATTAAAATTTATTATACAAAATTTATATTAAAAAAATAAGTTAATTGTGTTAATTAAATAGTTATATAAAACTTTAAAAATTGGGAGTCAAATATTACTTTGTAGTTTGGGTCTTGTTTTTGAAGAGAATTTTAAGTCTCATGTTTATCTGAGTTTTTTTTATTTAGCATCATGTTTTATTTTCTTTAAATTTACGGCCTCAAATAACATGTAAAATCAAATATTAAGGTAAACCATGTATTTTTCAAATGGAACCCAACAATTACTGGAGAGGATCCAAATTCACCCAAACTAGTTCCAGCCAGTTCTTACACCTAACACTTCGAGCTCTTTTTATTCTTCCAGATAGAGTTTTAGCCTGTTTTAAGAAATTAGAAAGAAAGAAAAACAAAATTGGAACCAACCAGGTATTGTCCTAATTGGGATGAAACAAAACTTGTTTGGACCTGATCAATTCTGATTCTGTTCTTTGCTCACCAGATTCTGGTTTAATTTCAGCACATCCACTACTAACAATACTCATGTTGAAGTCAAAGATAGTATATTATTTGTATGTCACATATTGTGATAAACATAAGGTGCATCAGTGCATGTACCATTTCTTTATTCACTTTGGTAACTCCTTTTTTACCTTATTCATGACTCCAATGAACAAACAACATCCTTGTTGAATGGTGCCCAGGGAGTGATAAGAATTGGGATCATCATCAAGACATCTCTCTTTTTGGTACATTGAAGAGAATAGGGGTAAGATTTGGACTTACATTTAAAAAACTAAACATGGCAACTCTATCTAAAGATCTTGAAATGCATCGAGGGGCAATAATATCACATACAACTCATAAGAGACATTACAAAAGGATATCTTCATAGTTTCATACAGCGCAATTCTCTGAACGTTTACTCGAGTAAACGTTTGTGCTTACACCAAGCAATTGCGATCACATAGAGAAAAATACTGCCAGTGCAACCACCTCCAATGGTCCACAAGAACTCCGGCATCCCGGCCTTTTCGGGATCAAACAAATCGATATTTATATTCATACCGAAAATGCCTGCCACAACCACAAAGGCACTTATGACAAGGGTTGCTGCAGTCAACATCACTCCCATTTGCAGAAGATGGTTCTGCTTGTCATCGAGCATTATGTTGATGTAATCTTCTGTGTCATCTACGTACTCCCTCAGCTTTAAAAAAAAATCATATCATCGTATTAGTACACCAATTTAAATACTAGCAAAATGGAGCATCTGTGCAGGTAAACTTACTGTGGAGAGTTTATTCAATGTGCCATCAATCTGAACAAAGTAAGCTTCTAATAGCATTTCAAGCTCCTCCACATCAAGGTGCTTGCTAATAGAACTATGTGTTGTACTTGTCCCTGTTCCTTGACTACCTCGCCCAAGTGTGTTTAATCTTTCAGGCTGGTGATCAAGATGTAGAGGATCAACACCATAACTTGTTGAACCTGTATTTGCTACCATTGATATTTCTGCAGGAATCCTGACATGACATATCCCCCCACCAAGATAGGTTTAAGGGTCATGGTTATCGGGATCAGTGAGAAATATGAACTTCTAAAAGGTGAATAGGTGATCATATGAACGAATTCCTAACACACTTGCAGTTTAAATAAATTAGTTTGAACTTTAAAGTGACAGTAGAATATCTAAGTACAATGTTTCTTGAGATAACTTAATTTGTGATGGAATGACTTATTTTCAAAGAAGTGTTTTTAATAAGAAGAATGTACTTTTACTTTAAATAGAAGTGTTAAGAAAGGAAATGAAAAAAGTAATATTTATTCTTCTCACAAAGACACTTCTTCTGTAGTTTGTGCTTACTTGAAAAAGAAACAGAAGTCCGGACTGGAACTTTAAAAAAAAGAACTTTGGAATGAGTACTTTTGGTCCTTTTGAGGAAAAAAGTACTTCCTGTTCCAAGAAGTGTTCCGCAAAGAAATGGAAAAGGTGCTCCCAATCATTAAAAACATTTAAAATTTAAGAAAGTTCCCATAATGGTGATTTAAAAAACATTTTTGAGATTTAGTTTTTAAACGAGAAGACACTTTTCTATAAAAGTTCTTTATAGCATAAGTAATTTCCAGCACACCCTAAAGCTTTCGCTATATTACAAGCAGATGATACATATATGAAAAAGTTTCTCCATTACCCCGTACGTAGTTCATATATTTTTGAGAAAGGATGTGTTTTTTCTAAATTCTAAGCTTATAGAACAAAGAGATCTTTGTGAATTGTACTACAATAGAAGTACCATAAAAGTGATAAAACATCTACATTGAGTGGAGATTATTGCTAATATCAACCATGTAAATTAATCACAAAGACACAAATTCTTAATACGAAGTATTAAAAAAATACTTCCTCTATCCCCTTTTGCATTTTAAATTGCTTTTTAGGCCAATAAAATTTGTGTGAGGAATCAATATATAAAATTCTTCCCTTTAAAAGACAAGAGAATTTTTTGGATGACCCAAAAAGGAAAGTCTGATGAATATTTTGGGAGTAATTGTAAATACCCATCAATGAAGTCTTCCTTGTTGACTACATCATCCATATCTTGCTCATTTATGGAGGAAACAGAAGAACCATCATGCTGTTGTAGAAGTTTTTCTGTTAAATACATTTCAGCCATATCTTCATCATCATCCAATAGATGTTCCAGCTCATCTCTTACCTGAACATTACAAATTTTTAGTCAAACATTCACAATGAGTGCATAAACATTCACAATGAGTGCCTAAATTTGGATGGTTGGAATATTATATTTTTTTTTAATATTTTTATCCTTATATATAAATATTACTTTATCCTGTTTATTTTATCTTTTATATGTATATTCATCTCTTTTATACAATAGTATTATCTTTTTTTATAATAGCTTATCTTTTTTATCTTTATTTTCCTTTTGGTGATATCATTTATCGATTCATGTTAGCAGACCCCAATATCGTTTGGGACTAAGGCTTGGATGTTGTTGTTGTTGTTGGAATATTATAAGATCACATACTATGTTACTTTTTTACTTTTATTCAAAACTATATGCTGCACTGATAAGAAAAAAACTAGAGGGAATACCTTTTGAACACGCCCAGTTATTGCAACCAAGCGACTTTTAATTTGACGGACACGCTCCAAATTCAGAGTACTAATTTTTGAAGTCAGTTTATCTAAAGCAGGATGAGCTTCCTGCTCCAATGTTCTCGCCTGTAATGAAAAAGAGCAATAGCAACAAAAAAGAGAGATTTGTACTATAAAAAGTAGAAAATAAAAACTCTACGAGAAATGAGAAATATGTACATGAACTGATGAATATGACAATAAACAAAGGGTTTGTTTGGACTAGGGGTTTAGAAGGAAAGACTTTAGAGGACGTGGTCTATATCTTGATAAATATAATATTTCTAAAACCAAATTAAAGTTTACCGAAATGTTTTATGATCACATCGCATTTTTATAAAATCTCAATCTCTATATATCAAGTTAAAAAACTAAGCCCACCAAATTCTTCCACTCCAAAACCCTCCATGCAAACATAGCATAAGTGAAGGAAGAACATTCTAACCAGTATACCTCACTATCCAAGCAACTGCAAGCAGCTTCAAGACACGCCTCAAGTGCAACAAATTCAAATGGAAGAAGCTTCAGCCCGTCTCGGTTCTCACCAGCTTGCTGTTTCCCATCTGCTCTCCCCTCCTCGTCCTTAGCTGGGAACTGCCCAGAATAGTTTTGAGGGCTTGTTCTGTTTGACCGTGGGTCTTCAAATGCATACAGGTTTGCCCAGTCTGCATCACCAAGCTCTGCTCCAGCTTCCTTCATCAATTATATTAAAGATCAGTTGATTACAAAATCCTTATAAAATTTCAAAGTTAAAATGCACAACACAGTATGTACACAGAAACAGATACCAAAAGAGAATGTAAGTTTGTATAGTTATATACATAAACGCATATAAATCATAAACTTAAAGAGTAAATGAGTAACTAGATTCTATAAGGCTGTGTTTGGAACCCAGAAATGGTAAGGTAAGCAAAGAAGATACTATGGGAAATGATTTTATAGGTGGGCTTTTACGAAAGGAAGTACAAAAGAATATTAATTTCAATTTATGATTTTGCATATATTTAGATTTCTTCGTCATTATATGATAAGGCACTCGAGGCCTGGTTTTTAATCTTTATCATCCATTTGAGTAAGGCACTCTGCCTTATGGCAGAGGATCTCATCCCACATTCTTTCCTACTTAATTTCCTCAACTTCCATTTTTTAGATTCTGATTGGACCCTAATAGTTTCAGGTATTAACTAATAGTTGAACATGAGTAACCTCAAAAATCAGTAGTTTAACTCCAAACAAGTATGTATACAAGAATGCCTAATAGTTGTTTATTTAATGACTAATGAGCTTCCCCAATAACACAACTAGTAGTTTAACTCATGTTTATAGTCAGTAGAAGCTTAAAACAATTTTATATGCAAGACAGGATAGAATAGTTGACATTCTTGAAGAATTCAATTCCTAATTTCCCTGAAGTTTCCTCCATGTGCAAGAATGACAAAGGGATCTTCCATACACCTAGGAGTGACCTTCCTTCCAACCACCATTGAAGCTTCCTTCCACCTTCATAGTACCTAGTTTTGGTGCTATAAATAGAGAGCTTGGAGAGTCTTTCTATCATCAAGTAAATTAGAATAGATCATAGCACAACCAAGAAGAGTTGTGAATATCCTTGAGAGATATGTGAGGTGTTGTTTTGAGAGTTTTTAGTTAGAGCTTGTATGTCTCTTCTTTCTATTCTTGAAAGTAATAGAAGTGTTTTTCTCTCATATTAGCACGATCCTGTTATTCCCAACAAGTGGTATCAGAGCCTGGTTGAGCTTTTGATATTTTTCCCAGATTTTTCCGGATAAAATTCTATTGTCTGAAAAATCGAGTTTTTCAGTATTGCTCAGAATTGCAATCTCAATATACCGTTGGATTCGTCTCGTCGAGACGAGAAAACTGGTATTTTTGGGGATTTTTTTGGCCACCGGAAGCTGCCGTACGCGCCGCCAAACGCCGGCCAAAAAATGCCTGCGTCATGCTGACGTCATCACGGGCAGACAGAGGTTGAAGACAGATGACGTCATCGCTGACGTCATCAGCCAGCCAGAGCTGCGTCAGCGACACGTCAGCGCCACATGTGCAGTCCCAGCACAGTCAGCCGCCACGTCACCAGTCAACTGCCAACTTTCACCAGCGCCCAGTCAGCTGCCACGTCATCGCCCAGTCACCACCACGTCACTGCCACGTCATCTGCCACGTCACCGGTCAGTTTGTATTTTTGAAAATTTGCAGTTTGGTCCCTCAATTTTTGGAAAATTATAATTTCCACCTATAATTTTTCGAAAATTGTATTTTGACCCCGAAAGTGCCTACCCACCACTTTCGGCCGTTCCGGACGCAACGGTGCTGCCCGTTTTTCGAAATTCGGCTCCGATTTTTCTGAAACAGAAAATCAAAATTATTTAGAAGGTGAAAATGACCTTTGACGAGTCAACTTCATCTTCCGGAGCTATGATTATGCTCACGGCTACCAACTACACGCTATGGAAACCTCGGATGGAAGATTTCCTTAGTTGTAAAGACCTTTTTGATCCAATAGAGATGAAAGGTATTAATTCTGATCCGGCCAAGTCAACGGAGTGGAAGAAAATTAATAGAAAAACTATTGGTCAAATCCGACAATGGATTGACCATAGTGTCTTCCACCATGTTGCACAAGAAACCGATGCTTATGCCCTTTGGAAAAAGTTAGAAGATATGTACCAGGCCAAGACCGCTAGGAACAAGGCCCTACTGATGAGGCGTCTTGTCAATATGAAGCTCAAAAGTGGAACTTCTGTTGCCGAACATACTAGTCAATTTCAGAGTCTGGTAAATCAACTATCTTGTGTAGAAATGCCACTTGGAGATGAAATGCAATCTCTATTAATTCTTAGTTCCCTTCCTGATAGTTGGGAGACACTAGTTGTTACTCTCAGCAACTCAGCCCCAGATGGCAAACTTACCATGTCTGTGGTCAAGGATGCACTGTTCAATGAGGAGGCAAGAAGGAAAGACATGAGCACAGATGAGACTCATGCCCTTGTGACGGAGAATCGAGGAAGATCACAAGGAAAGCAACAAAGAAACAGTAGAGGAAAGTGGCAAAGCAGGGGCAAAAGTCGGGGGAGATCATCAGATGACCGGAAACCTTCTTATACCTGCCACCATTGCGGTATAGAGGGTCACATGAAGAAGAATTGCTACAAATTGCTAGAGGAGCGAGGCAAGAGCAATTCTCAAGCGAAGAGCAAGGGTGGTGAAGCGCTCATCACAATCTCAGGTGATGTGGCGTATTGTACTATCAATGATGAAACATGCCTTCACGTCTCAAGAGAGGACACTGAATGGGTGGTAGATACTGCAGCATCCTACCATGTTACTCCCCACAGGTACTACTTCACAACTTACAAAGCTGGAGACTTTGGAGCAGTGAAGATGGGCAATTCCAGTTCATCTGAAATAGCTGGAATTGGTGATGTACAAATAAAGACGAGTTCTGGGAGCACAATCACTTTGAAGGATGTCAGACATGTTCCAGACCTTCGTCTCAATCTCCTGTCAGTGGTATGTCTTGACGAACAGGGGTATGAAAACCACTTTAACAGGGGCACCTGGAAAATGTCAAAGGGCGTTTTGACAATCGCTCGAGGACATGTTTGTGGCACATTGTACAAAACCCATTTGAGGATTTGTACGGATAGCCTCAACATTGCTGAGGAGACTTCTCAGAATCTGTGGCACCTGAGACTTGGCCACATCGGTGAGAAAGGGCTGACTACCTTGATCAAGAAGAACCTTATCAACATTGACAAGAATGCTGCACTGGGTCCTTGCAGTCATTGTCTGTTTGGTAAGCATCATAGAGTATCATTTAGTTCTACTTCAGCTAAAAGATCAGAGTTGTTAAGTTTGGTACACTCCGACGTCTGTGGTCCTTTCGAGGTGGAATCAATCGGTGGAAGCAGATATTTTCTGACTTTTATTGATGATGCTTCTCGGAAAGTGTGGGTGTATTTCCTGATTACGAAAGATCAGGTATTTGAGTGCTTCAAGACATTTCACGTCTTGGTGGAACGTGAAACGGGAAAGAAGCTGAAATGTCTCCGATCTGATAATGGAGGCGAGTATACTTCTAAGGCGTTCGATGCATATTGTAGAGAATATGGCATTCGACATGAGAAGACAGTACCACGCACCCCTCAGCACAACGGCGTTGCTGAAAGAATGAACCGGACTATCATGGAGCGTGTCCGGAGCATGCTGAATATGGCTAAGCTTCCGAAGTCATTCTGGGCAGAAGCAGTCAACACCACATGCTACCTTATCAACCGATCACCTTCGGTACCACTGAACTTTGAAGTTCCGGAGAGGTTATGGACAGGTAAGGATCCTACATACTCACATCTTAGAGTATTTGGATGTTCATCATATGCACATGTATCCAAAGAGCTCAGGCAGAAGCTCGATGCAAGAACTATCCCATGCATTTTCGTTGGCTACGGAAATGAAGAGTTTGGATACAGGTTATGGGATCCTAAGGAGAAAAAGGTGTTCAGAAGTAGGGACGTTGTGTTCCACGAAGATTTGACAATAGAAGACATTGAAAAACCCACAATGTCTCGGAAGTCAAATGAGGGTGCTCAAGTTTCAAATGAAGCACCAGAAGAGGACGAAGTGCATGAAGATAACTCAGAAGCAGCCGAAGAGGAGGAGACAGAAGAGAGTGCAGAGCAAGGGGAGACACAATCCACCCCGCCAGACACAGATGATGGTAGCTCTTCTCAGATGGTTCCAACTGTTCGTAGATCTGAACGAGGGCATCTACCATCGACAAGGTACACATCATCTGAATATCTTTTGTTAACTGAAGATGGAGAACCGGAGAGTTTTCAAGAAGCTATGTCTCACAAGGATAAAGAAAAATGGCTAATAGCAATGCAGGATGAGTTAGAATCTCTACAGAAAAATCAAACCTATGAGATCGTAGAACTTCCTAAAGGGAAGAAAGCTCTGAGGAACAAATGGGTGTTCAAGCTGAAGAAGGATGCAAACGGACAAGTGGTGAAACACAAAGCTCGGTTGGTTGTCAAAGGGTTCCAGCAGAAGAAAGGAATTGACTTTGATGAGATCTTTGCACCAGTTGTCAAGATGACCTCAATCCGAGTTATACTTGGCTTGGCAGCAAGTATGAACTTGGAGCTTGAACAAATGGATGTGAAGACAGCATTTCTTCACGGAGATTTGAAAGAAGAAATCTACATGCAGCAGCCGGAAGGTTTTGAGAACTCAAATGATAATTTTGTGTGTAAATTATCTAAGAGTTTGTATGGCTTGAAGCAGGCACCAAGGCAGTGGAATAAGAAGTTTGACTCATGCATGAAGAGTCAAGGCTACAAGAAGACTACTGCAGATGAGTGTGTATACATCAAGAAACTTCCAGACGGTACCTTCATTGCTCTTCTACTATATGTAGACGACATGTTGATCGTTGGGAAAGATGCAGTGAAGATAAACCAACTGAAGAAAGAACTCTCTAAGTCTTTTGATATGAGAGACTTAGGACCGGCTCAACAGATTCTTGGGATGCAGATCACTCGAGACAGGAAGAATCGCAAGTTATGGCTATCTCAGGAGAAGTACATTGAACGAGTACTTGAGAGATTCAACATGAATGATGCCAAGCCAGTAAGTGTTCCACTTGCGAATCACTTCAAGTTGAGCAAAAGAACATGCCCTACATCCAAGGAAGAGATCGGGGAGATGTCAGCAGTTCCATATTCTTCAGCAGTTGGGAGTTTGATGTATGCCATGGTATGCACAAGGCCAGACATCGCACAGGCAGTGGGTACAGTGAGTCGTTTTCTCTCTAACCCCGGGAAGGAGCATTGGGAGGCAGTCAAATGGATTCTCAGGTACTTGAAAGGTACCACGAAGTTATGCCTTTGTTACGGAGGAGCTGATCCAGTCTTGGAAGGCTACACAGATGCTGATATGGCCGGAGATACTGATAGTAGAAAGTCTACTTCAGGATATATTTACACTTTTGCAGGGGGAGCCGTTTCTTGGCAATCAAGATTGCAGAAGTGTGTCGCTTTATCTACAACAGAAGCAGAATACATTGCTGCCGCTGAAGCAGGTAAGGAAATGTTGTGGCTAAAGCGTTTTCTCCAAGAACTTGGGATCCAGCAGAAAGAGTACAAGGTACATTGTGACAGTCAGAGTGCTCTAGACTTGAGCAAGAACTTTATGTACCATTCTCGTACAAAGCATATTGACATTCGATATCACTGGATACGGGAGACGATTGATCAACAACTGTTGAGACTAGTGAAGATCAATACAAAGGAGAATCCATCAGACATGCTGACGAAGGTGGTGACACGAGATAAGCTAGAGCTGTGCAGAGACATAGTCGGGATGCTTGTTTTGAATATGCCTGGAAGGGGAGAATTGAAGAATTCAATTTCCAGGTCATATCCAAGTACAAGCAAATTGAAGAATCCAATTCCTAATTTCCCTGAAGTTTCCTCCATGTGCAAGAATGACAAAGGGATCTTCCATACACCTAGGAGTGACCTTCCTTCCAACCACCATTGAAGTTTCCTTCCACCTTCATAGTACCTAGTTTTGGTGCAATAAATAGAGAGCTTGGAGAGTCTTTCTATCATCAAGTAAATTAGAATAGATCATCATAGCACAACCAAGAAGAGTTGTGAATATCCTTGAGAGATATGTGAGGTGTTGTTTTGAGAGTTTTTAGTTAGAGCTTGTATGTCTCTTCTTTCTATTCTTGAAAGTAATAGAAGTGTTTTTCTCTCATATTAGCACGATCCTGTTATTCCCAACAATTCTTGGTTTAGAACTAAGGCCCTTATCATTGTTGCTAAATGCAGTAAATAAAACATAAGTACTGTTATTATTTAAAATGTCACAGTAATTTAGGTAGAACAGGATAAACTAATCATCGAACTAAGCTGCCCCAAGCAGTAAGCTTTTTGACTTGTAACATCCTAGGCAGCAATCTTTCTAATATGGAACACTTAAAGTTTTAAGAAATTATTATTACTATCATATAAACACATTGATACTATGGTGTAATATGTATACAGAAAAAGACATAAATAGTAGTGTGGATAGGCAAAGAGAAACCTGAGACTTGGTAGCTTGGTGGTGACGCAATATTCTGTGCTGAAGCTCGTCCACAAAAGGGGAAACAGATGGGTCTTTGGAATTGAGGAGAAGGACCTCTTGGGCGGTGATAATGGCTTTGATATGCTCCAGATTTATGACGATTGCCCGTTCACGGCCGAGAACGGTGGAAGGGTAGGAGAGGAGTGGGTCCAGAATACGGAGATCCCGGGCCGGGAGACCAGTCCGCCGCATGATAGCATGTTTTCCGACCTCCACCACCTGCGCTTGCCCTGTGGCGTCCAACAGAAGCCACTGCCGGATCCCCGCGGCCTTCTTCCGTAGCCCAGCCCCAACGATTACGCCTCCCGGCAAGTGGTTGTTAGTGCGGAAGGGATCGCCATCTTCGCCCGGTGAATCGGCGTTGAACTTCGCCGGAAGATGGCCCCTCATGATCAGCTTCCACAAGCGCAAGTGATTTTTCAGTTAAAAATGTACTTGTATACAATCGGCCGGCTCTCACAAAGGAAACTAAAATTACAAAAGTACATTGGCCACTTTTATGATTCTACAATAATAATTCATATTTAAAGTGTCTATAAATATAATTCGTAATAGCAATAGTGTTCACAAGAATATACTCGTGACATGGAGAATTTGGGCAATGGGCATGTACCATTACTGTTTACTAACATAACAAATAACAGTAAAGACAAATAGTTCATATGTAGTTTTCAATCCAAATAAAGTATATTTGCGTATATATATGGGGAAACAAAGTAACAAACTAAAATCCTTTGAGCATCTCCAATGTTAATGAATGAGAAAAAAAGATATAGAAATTGTGCATGACATTGTTAATAAAAATAAATTAAAAATATAGCAGATCACTGAAAAGAAAAAAAAAAATTGATTTAATTTTATGCGCTTACATCTTTCATGTGATATATGCAATATCATGTTAGTATGTTCTATATAGTAATTGCTACACAAATTGATAGCTATTAGTCTATTACTAAACATTTCAAGTATTCAAATTGATAATTTGAATTAATTATATTCGGTCACCTTTACAAATTACCAAAGTGTCAAAGGGGTATTTATAATAACAATAATAATAAATAAATAAATAAATAAATAAAAGATTAAATGCATTGTACATGCATGCATCATTACTCCATAGTGACGAGATCGGTCCATTTGGTTGCATTGCGCATTTGCCCGACAGGCCAATGTAGCCATTATGTAGGGTGGCCGAGCGACACTCGTGAATCATCTAAAGCGAAGCCAATGTTGAGTCTTCCGCTTATCTATTAGAGGATGTATGTTGTGGGTACATGTTCATATAGTCTACCAGAAGTGTTGTTCATCTTCTTCCATGAATTTGCAAACTTTGGTGGCTATGGTTTCTTACCGCATATAGTTAGTTACATAGTTAATTCATCACATTTATACTTTTTGTTTGCCTTTTTCTTTAGCACAACCATCAGTTGTACATGGATTGCACTTCTTAACTAACAATTACCTCAAATTTGTTTTATTTTCATGCCTCTAATATTGTTTGCTGTTTTAAGCGTGCTGTGAAATGAATTTAAAAGTTTTAATCTCTGCATTAAAAGAAATATGGGTATCTAATTCTAATAGAAGGCCCATATGTTCTTGATTTGAAAAATTGCATGCTCATACGGATAGGACATAGCAAATTGTGCGTTTGTTTTGGATATTTAGTTGGCAAATGACTACTAGTCCTAAGTAACAAACTTCATACACAATAATGCCCATAAATGACATAATACACATCAATGTTGCCATAAGTTATGGCCAATTATATTTTTTACTTCTCAAGAAATGTTTAGACATGCGCAGCTAATGTTGTTGCATATTTGCAAATAAGTTATGCTAGACTAAAGTTATGCCTTTATGTTCCACTTATTATTTAGATTTTCAGGAAAAAAACCAGTGTATGTCTAATATGGAGCACTGATTTGCAGTAAAGATTCAAGCATGCCACTTGTTGGAGGTCGATCACCAAGATGATGCTTGTATAAGAAACCCATCACATCACGTATGTCCTTAAATGTTGCACTATTTTTGTCCAATAACAACAATTCTTGATGTACCCAAAATTTGTATACATTTGGCTTACAATTGTACATAATAGTATGTACAGATAGGGGTGGACTGAACCGGGCCGGTTCGGGCCTGGGCCCGGCCGGGCCTCGGTTCAGAATATTGAGGCCCGAGCCCGAACCAGGGGTGGCCGGTTCCGGGCCAGACCGGGCCAGTTCCGGGCCGGGCCACCTGCCCTATTTTTTTTTTTGGCTTCTTTATTTAATCCCCTACCCCTCTTTCTCAACCCCAAACCACCCCAAACCACCTCAAATGGACCAAAATACCTAATCTAACCCAAAACATAAAAATTTTCAAAAAAAAATTAAAAAAAAAATTATTTCCGGCCCGGACCGGGCCCGAACCGGCCGGGCCGGTTCACCATATGGAAGGCCCAGGCCCGGAACTGGGAACCACCGGGCCGGTTCGACCCGAACCGCCGGTGGACCGGGCCACCGGGCCGGGCCGGTTGCTACAGTGGCCGGGCCGGTTCCGGGTCAGGCCGCCCGGCCTGAGTCCAGGCCTATGTACAGACAAACAACTGCTCGCGAGTTGCCAAAGCATTTTGATAAATTCTTTGAAGAATAATTGCGTTGATTCTAATTTCTGTTTGCTCGCGAGTTGCCAAAGCATTCTTATAAATTTTTTGAAGAATAATTGTGTTACTTATGATTTCTGTCTTCTAAAAGAACCTCAAAATACAATTTCACTTGTCCAACTATAATATAAAAAGAAAATGAGATATTAAAAAACAAAGACGCCAATGTAGAACACTTGTTTATTTATATGCGAGACAATTAGAAAAAAATAATTTATATAATTTAACTCCACTTGACAACGAAACTGGCCTCTCTCTATACATTTTATGTTATCGGTAATACTTTAAAAGTCCCTTAGATTATAATTCTGTCTCAGCTGTATAAGATGCTTCAGTTGCAGCTTCAGACTTGATCAAAGGGATTGAGATGGGAGGTCCAGCCTAATCCTGAAATTCTTTGAGTTTAATATCAAAATAACCACAACATTTTAAACAAATCTTTATGCATGATAAGAGATTTGTGTGTGATATAAAAACAGTGTTGTGTCTGATTAAAGAAAAGCAAGAAAAATGAGACGAAGACGAGACTGCAAGCTCTATCCTAAGGTGAGCAACCACATTTCGAGTTCATAATTCAGGACATACCACCAAATGAGAACATAAAGCTTCAAGAAAAGTATAAACCAAGCCATCCCAAATTTATAAGCCCAACAAAGAAATCCCTTACATAGGCAGGCCTTGTAAGTTCTGCTAACTGTTGGCTAGTTGACACTGATTGTCCGCCCAAAACATCAAAGTTGCCAAAAGTGCCACCGTGGCAGTTTCAACTCGTAGGCGATGTGGCCCCAGACCTACTGCAGTTGCACCTGCTTCAACTATCATTTTCCTCTCATTCTCAGTGAAGTCTTTAGCATCACAATCACCCCAGAATCAGATTACAAAAAGCTAAGTTAGAGTTTTTAATGAGCAAGCACAAGTTCAATATGCGTGTGGGAATAAATAGAGCAATTTTCCATGGGCTCCATTTGGTAGCTGGTTTATAAGGCTACCAAATGGTTTTTCTGTTTATTAGAAGAAAAAAAATAATTTTTTCTTATTTGACTGAGATAATGTTATCTTTCCATCATTTGCAATGGAGCCAAAGATTCATTATTTTTTGGCTTGAGAATATGATGGAATAAAGCAAAATGGCTCACTAAACTGTCTGCGTTTCTTTGTTATGAAGCAGCAGTCGGTCCATGCAATTTTGGACGTGATTTTCACTATGGGTCATCCGGAAACAGTCTCTCTGTGCTTTAGTATAGGGGTAAGACTGCGTACATCCGACCCCCCCTTACCCCACCGTAGGTAGCCTTTGCGGCACTGGGGTAAATGAAAATGATGATGAATGACTGAGATAATGTTATCTTCTATTGACTTGCAATCTATTCTGAAAATGTTTAAAGAAAATTGTCATGATCTTAAGACACTGACCAATAAAACGTCATGATTTTAGTTATTTATATACAACCAATATGCAGGTCCTCCAGAAACAATCTATTTAGTATAGCAGTAAGGTTGCATACATCTGACCCCCCTTACCCCACCATAGGTGGGAGCCATTGCGGCACTGGGGTAATGTTGTTGTTGTCGTATATTTAACCAATATGGGACAAATACTTCAACTTGGCCGCTCAGACTAAACTTGCTTAATTGAGGGTGGATAAATAGGTCATATGACTCCAAAGCATAATAAATAGTTTTTTTTTGCTTATTTGAGAGATTATGTTATCTTCTATTGACTCCAATACGGCACATTCTACTAATTCACCGAATAAACCTTACCAAACGAGCTACATGTCTTGACTTCCCTTACTATTTTACAAGGACGTTTTACCTTTTCAATTAAATTAAATTATCGGTATTTGAAATATTTGGGAACAAAAAACAGAAACAAAGGCAATTTGGTGAAACTAGAATTCATTATTTAATTCATAGTATGATAGTAAAACTGACCTCCTTCCGGTCCTATTACCAATAATCCAGACGATTCTTTTCTTCGGGAATTCAAGGCACTAAAAACTGGTGCTGCCTCTGCTAACGCAATAAATGATAACGGCGACGCTTTGACCTTTGGAGTAACCACCCGGCCAAAAATAATCAAAGAAAAACAGAATTAAAACCTGTAAAAGATGGAAAATGGGAAGGCTTCAAAGAAGTTTAACTGTTCTAAGTCAAGAGGCACCCAAAAAATAATATACTGCAAAAAAAACACTTATGGAAGTTTTTTTCTTTGCTTTAAAGGTAGAAAAAGTAAAAATTGCTTGTGACTTACATGAGGCAAGAGCTGAGCAACTTTAATAGGAGGGTTGAAACTCATTTCGTGCAGCCGCTGACCTATTAGAAACTCCTACTATTAATACTCTGTATATTGGTAGAACAAAGATGCATGCCCATATAAAGTAGGATGGTTACTACACTGTACTCAAATTCTCACATTGTTTGGATGCAGCCAAACTGACACGTAATAATCTCTCCACACGATTTTCTGAAAGAGAAGAAGACCGTTCTGTCAACAGTGGTGTAATGCTATGGGCCCCCAGCTCCTAAAACAAGAGATGAAATTAATAAGTTACTTACAGCCTGTTTGGTAAGGATTAGTTTGGGCATATCAGCCATTTGTTTCCAAACACTAGCGGCTTGTTTGGATGGAGTGTTGGGAGGTGTTAGTAAGGGAAGTGTTGAGAGGTGTTAGCTTTAACAATTGTTTGAGAGAAAGCTTTTAAAAAAATTGGAGTGTTAGTAAGTGTTTAAAAGTGTTAGAAAAAACCTCCCTAACACCTCCATAAGTGACTTTTTAACACCCCCAAATTGGAGTGTTTTGGAGTGTTGGACAAACCTTGCCCTTCATATTGTCATTCTACCTCCTGGCTGCTGTATTTCTGCTCTCATCGATCATCATCACAACCAACCATTATGAGTTGCAATGGCCAATACTTATCATTTCCTTCCACTTTGTTTCATTAAATACGAAGTACTTGATGGATGTACATAACCCAGTCGACTTTCTTACCATTATGTTTGGACTAGCTTCAGCAACGACTTTGATGTTTTTTAATTTAGATTTACTTTTAATCTCAATATATATATAATACGAATCAGGTCATTGATAGGAACCCACTTATATTAGACTAATAATAGAAGTATTAATAATAATATTAGTAATAAGGGTCTGAGTACCCTAGTATAAATAGACGAGTAAGGGAGTTAGAAAGGAGGCTTCTAGACGGATAGTCTTGGGACTTGGGAAGATACGAGACTGAACATCTCTACCTTTTGGGGCTTCGGCTTTGGGAGGCTTCGGCCTTGGTTACTGTCTTCTCCTGTAATCGATCACCTTCATCAATAAAGTTCTCATCAGTTTTTCTTGTTAATCTTTCCATAAATCTTCTGAATTTCTGGAGGTATCTATCATTGGTATCAGAGACTTCGATCGCTGGTTGAGATACTCACGCGCAAAATGGAAGGGAGAATTAACGACCTGGAAAGAAAACAAAAAGAAACATCGGCAAAAATGGCGACGATGGCAGCGACCTTGGCAATCATAAAGACGGACATCGCAAAGCTGGAAAATAAAGTCCAGAGTCACTTGCGGAACAGATCGCATGTGTCAAACGCATCGCATCGCGACTCTCATTATCGCGATTCTCATCATCGCAATTCAAAGGATTCCGAAGAGCAGAGGCTGCGAAGGAGAACTGAAGATCGATCGAGCAATTATAGCCATCATCCGCCATCGCAGAGGGAGTCACAGACGAAATCGCGAACTTTCTCCCTAAGTTCTCAATCGGGAACTCCTTCTCAGAGTTCTCAAATTTTTTCACCGGCCAGCAGTTCGCGTTCAAGAAAGACACAATCAAAAGGAGCATCTTCTTCTTCACCAAAGGATTTTCACTGTTCATCTTCTTCGTCTACTTCGTCTAAAGTCACTTCTCGGAAGTCAGCTCGTCCAAAGAAGGAGGAATTACCTCTATTCTACAAGCCTGAAGCGTACGAATGGATAGAGAAGATGGAAATATATTTCCGAGTCCAAGCTATTGCAGAAAGATTTAAAGTGGACATTGCGGCAAAGGCTATGGGGGAAGAAGCTTGCGGCTGGTTTCATTGGTGGGATTTTCAAAAGAGAGAAGATAGTTGGGAGGCTCTAAAGGAAGATATGATTAAGAATTTTCCACCTAAACACCGGCAGAAGACAGGAAGGACAGAAAGGCAAGAATCCTCAAGGTCACGAAGAACTTCTTCCAGTTCGCAATCAAGAACTTCTTCATTCAGTTCGCAGGAATCATCGTTAAGCAGGCAGCGAAAACAGGAGTCATCGAGGTCGCAAAGAACTTCTCGCTCACAAGTTTCTCAATCAGCGCTAGAAATTTACCAGTCCACAAAGAAGGTTCAAATGGAACCAACTGAATCTGTAATCAAGCAAGTGAATAAGAAAGACGAAATCAAGGAGAAACGACAGGTTATTCAAGGGCCAGATTATGTTTATTCTAATCTTGCAGAGGTGTGGATTTAACTTCCAACCAAGTTTCTATTGCTGACAAGCTTCTTCAGCCATGTTCTGTTGGAAATAGAGCCCTAATTGTTTCTGAAACTGTTCTTGTCAAAAGTCAACTATGTTTAAAACCAAAGGAAAGGTTATCAGAAAAATTATGTGTTGGTAAAAATAAAACTGGTACAGAGGCTCAGGAGAAGGAGGTTGGGCTTGTTTCAGGTGAATTTGCTATCATCCAGGGAAACCGTACACAGATTAATGCTGCTGATAAGTATAACCATGGCCAACACCTCAAATTACAACAAGCTGAATTTCAGCCAGGGGTTGAGAGCATGTTAGACTACCCCAAGCCTGACTTACATAATTCCCTTAGAATACATGAAAGTTATCAATTGTCGGGAGACATCTCAGAAATGACAGCTCATAACCTATTACTTCCTGAGTTTTATAAAGTCTTCACAAGGTTTTTACAGAGGTTGAACCCAAAGAGTTACCAGCAAACTCCCACTATTAGGGCTCCTGGTAGCATACGACCCTTGTATGTTCACATTTTACCTTATGTTAGGCAAATGGGGACTAAACCGCAACAACATTTTGAAGAATTGGTTATTGATGTAATAGATCTTCTGACACTAGGGTTGAAACCTTTATCAATTGATGACATCAAAGCTGTGAGCGGAGTTTCTTGTGATCCTAATACCAGGATAAGTATTCAAAGCAAGAAGCAGGAACTATGGGAATGGAGAGGAATTCAAGGGTGAAAGAAATGAAGATGAATGGTCAAGTATTGATGCTGATGGGTGCAGTTTACAAAAGGAATGGGCCTAGTCTTAAGTTTGATAGAAGGGAGTGCAATATCATGGAGCAAATGCTACTTCGGGATCAGGATTGGGGAATACAATTGGAGATTGTTGAATTCCTAAATTCAAATATAGAAACACAGTATGACTCAAGTTCTCTTGAACCTTCTTCTGACATGTGTGTGAATGAAGTTCTGCATGAGGTATTCAGTGTGAAGTTTCAATCAAGAGATAGGGTGAAGTCAGAAGCAAATGCTAGGCTGAGGCTGGTCAGGAGTTTTTCATATAGAGGACTAGAAGTTTGGAAAAGTATGACACCACCACCAGCTAGATATTGGGAGGGGAGAGGCACCCGGAGGAAGCGGAATTCCAGAATTGGTTCCTATCATCCCACCTTGAGGACAAGGTGGTTGTTTAGGGTATTAATAATAGAAGTATTAATAATAATATTAGTAATAAGGGTCTGAGTACCCTAGTATAAATAGACGAGTAAGGGAGTTAGAAAGGAGGCTTTTAGACGGATAGTCTTGGGACTTGGGAAGATACGAGACTGAACATCTCTATCTTTTGGGGCTTCAGCTTTGGGAGGCTTCGGCCTTGGTTACTGTCTTCTCCTGTAATCGATCGCCTTCATCAATAAAGTTCTCATCAGTTTTTCTTGTTAATCTTTCCATAAATCTTCTGAATTTCTGGAGGTATCTATCAGTCATATAAAAGAAATTTGAAAGAAGAGATGATGCTAAAAAAGTTCTGATATGTAGGAATCAGGTTATATTATTTTAAATGATTTTAAATAAGGGTATTATTGTCAATTTAATTGGAAACACTTCCTTTATTAACCCTTCATTTTTTAACTCTCCCAAACAAGGTACGTTTATGTTTTACACATACACTTACCATCCCATCCGGGCCCCTACCAACACCTACTAACACTTCCATTACTAACATCTTTCAACACTCTATCCAAACAGGCCGTGGGTTATTAACTACAAACACACAAAAATAGCGTGGGATGAACTTTTTTGGTTGAAATGCCCAAAATAAAATAAAATAAAATAATGCTTTAAACTGTATTTATAAACATAATTTCATTTGTTTTACCAAAATATGTTTTGAAGTGATTTATTAGATATTTCAGCGGTAAGGAACATGAAGAATACGCACAGTGCATTTCTCTACAAGCCAATCAGCGCGACCTCCCTTTAGAGTTCCTAAAACAAAGAATTTTTTAAGAATTATTATAAAAGCTAGAAACAGAAGAGTGAAGCATCCACAGCTTTTAAAAACTCACCGAAAGCAGCAAAGACATGCCATTGAGTCTCCAAAGGTGATACCAACTTGGGATTCTCTAGAGCCACAATTTTCAGTCCAGATTGATCAATGTTCTGTATGCATCCTTCAACTAAGTTCCCTTTTCCATTAAATAGCTCTACCCTTGCAAAATTAAAACAAGTAACAACAGTATTAACTACTATCGGATCATGAAGGGGAACACCTGTGTTTTATCAGCTGCTAGAAAAACTGTCTCTAAATTCCAGACATTTGCCACGTGTTTGGTTAAAATGAAAGGGAGGGGAGTGGGGGAGGATAGGGGAGGTGAAAAGAGAGAGTGAAAATATTAATGTTTGGCAGCCATAACTGACGGTACTTTCCAAGCATGTTGGTATACTTCTATTAATGGAAAAAACATAGTACTCCTATTTTGGGATATCCCATTATTTTACTCCTTTTTAGGGTAATTTCCGTAATACATTTGGAATTCAAATTATATCCAGATTATCGATTATGTTATCAAATATTTATTATTCATATTATCAGCTCTACTTAAAACTGATAAAAGTGAAGAATGAAGAAAAGTTGAAATCACCCATCTAAATAAGCTTTCACACACACCAAAAAACAAAATATTAAAAAAACTTGTTAAAAATTAAAAAACTTCAAGCAACAAGGTGTACGTGAAAGAGAGCAGCAAGCCAGAGATGCCTGGCTGCGGTACCCAACAGATCAAATGGTCATGGAGCAAGAGTAAAATGGAAATGGAAGGGGAGAGGTCTTCTGTTAGATATAGTGGGCATCTTTAAGGAACAGGTAGGTATACAGGGAGAAAGCCAATGAAAGGTACAAGCTAGATCATCCATCTCCCATCCTTTGGGAGGTCCAAACAAAACCAAAGAACAAGGGAATCAATAAAAAATGATTTTTTCCATAAAACTAAATTGGAATTCATGCAAACCATCTGGAAAAAGATCATACTTTGTGCTATGACTCCTATCCAGTTAACCAAGGACAAAAATACCTTTACAATTTAAATGAATAAAGCAAGTAAATATACTAGTAATCTTTAAATAACAATGACAAAAACAAAAGCAACAACTACAATAATTATATTTTTAATAAGCTACATGGCTGTGCAAGCTATGCTTTTGATGCATTGCCAATACAAGCTATGCTAGAAAGTAGAAACTACTAAAAACATCTTAGTTTTTAGTACTGTTCTATATAAAAAAAACGATGAAACATCAGGGTTGATTGTAACTCCTGATTACCTATCATGAATGGTCAATCTTAGAACTCTAGTCATGTGCCAAAACTCATCTCCTTTGACACGAACAACACTACCCTGCATGTTAACACAGTAGAAAAGGGTACTAAACTAAAGAATGAAATTAAAATGTAATTGAAAATCTTTCAGGAAGTGATGAAAGTAAATCTTACTAGGTATTTCACAAAAGAAAAATATACTCCGTATGATTTAAAACATTTTCAACTACAGTTGGAGGCAAAACATGGATGAACCGATGAACCCCACAATATCTGCACGGTCCATGAGACCATGTATGCACGCAACCACACCTCTTCCTATTCAGCTATTCTATTCTACAGAAGATATAAAAAATATCATGATTTTCATGCTATTCTCCATACATGATTTACATGCTTCCATACGCACTTCTTTACCACAAAAAAATTCATCTTTCAACCATAGAGAGTATCCTTACACCAATCAGTAACAGAAATGAAAACTGGTTTTATTAAACCAAACAAAACAGTTCGGGGGTTAAAGTAGAGCATAAAATAGAAACTTTCTGGGTAAAAAAAGATGAAATTCAACGAGTGAATGATGCATTAGGGTGGAATTAAGAGAAGCGAAATGCCTTGGAAGAAGGGAGGATTTCGGAATAGAAGCGAGGGAGGCCGCCACGAGCCTGGGTTGAGTAATTTGATGGAGACGGAGATGATGAGAACGCTCGAAAGGTCGATTCTTTAGAACATGTACGGTTCAGGAAGAACGCAAGACTGATGCTTCGAACAGGGACTTGCATTGGGATGAAGATTAACTTGAAAAGGGTCACTCGCCATGCCCCTATATCATTTTTGTCATTTTTGTTCTGTACAATAAGTTTGGGCACAACATTTAGGGTATAATAATGTAATCTATATATCTATTAATCGAACTAAGTCTATTTCCCGCTCAGGATTCAGAGACATTTGGGTAAATACATGTTATCTATATATCTATTAATCGAACTAAGTCTATTTCCCGCTCAAGATTCAGGGACATTTGGGTAAATACATGTTATCTCATAAAGCCATCTCATTCTTTCGACCACTTCTTCGCCTTTACAAAGCACGAATACTTCCACATGCTTTCACCATCAAAAGTTAATTCATTCCTCTCAAACTAATCTTTCTCCCCGTTAATCTAAGTTAAAACCGTATCGATTCCTCTTATTAATTAGGTCTGATATTGATTTCGTCACTGTTCTTTTTTTATATTTCAACTTGGGGTGTTTAAAGTATGAGTTAATCGATTTTGAAGGGCTGGAATCAGTTTCTAATGGTTGTTGTATTGATTTCGATTTTGTAGGACTGGAAATAAATTTTAGTCTTTCATGAAGTTGAAGACAGACTAAAGAGAAAGCTAACCCAAGAAGACTTGAGGTAACCGCTATCCAGCCCCCAATTTTCCATCTCCTAACGCCACTCCTATTACACAACGTTTTTTGTGCTATATATTTGATGATTAAATATATTACTCCGTATATGCTTATAGCCGGTTCAAATTTAATACGGAGTACATGTTTTGATTGTTTTCGTGTAGGGTTCACTCAATTGCTTTGAATTTGAGATGGAGTGTGAAAAAATTTGGTTCTAAGATTCACAGTTTTAGAGTGCCTTTAAGGTGTTTGTAATAATGTCACATTGATGATTTTTAGTTTTGAATCATGTTCCTGAATCTCCCCCCTTTATAAAAAGTGAAGCTTTTTACAGAATGTGATAAAATGCATAGAATTTATTTCATAAAATGCGTTTTTAAGTGTCTTTTATTTCTTATTTCTACATACTGCTATGACGTATCACCATAAAATGATTGATAAACTAAAAGTTATAAATGTGTAAGGAAGTGCTTTTAGAATGCTATAGCTGCTCAACCAATGAATTCGGACGTAGCTTGGGTGTGTATAAAAGTCCTGGACTAAAAAGGAGCTAAATTACTAAAACCATTTTACATCTTGGACGAATCATGAGTTCACTTCAGTCAAGGGCTTAGGTATTTATAATTAATCCTCACCGTATGTACTGTTCTATTCATTGTATTTTATATTAAGATGGATTGATTTTCTAATGGATGCAACCTCTCCTCTCAAAGTCCTTTTTAAGAATGTCAATATACATTTTAACTACAAGGTTTTGCTGATATATTGTGAGCAGCATGAAAATGGTTCGTCCCTAGCAAATGAAATCCCCTGAATCCATATGATTGAGATGGTTCTCATAGATGAGAAGGTACATGTCATATTATTTCAGCATGTGGCTCATGCTTTAAGAATATTGTTTGCCTTTTCTCTAAAATATACCTAAAGACTTATATTTTTTTTGAGGGACTAAAGACTTATATTCTAAGTCAAAAGTTTCATTCTAACCATTTAGTATTACTGAAATCAGCACCAGGACTTCTCATTTTCTTCTATCAGCGAACAAAAAATGTACTCTATGGAGTGAAAATAGTGCAATTTTTCACTTTAATTTGTATTACTTCTTATCTTTATTTTGGCTTGCTGATGTGGCCTTTTATTTCATCATATTGCTATTATGTATCACCATAAAATGGTTGATAAATTAAAAGTTATAAGTGTGTAAGGAAGTGCTTTTAGAATGCTATAGTTGCTCCTCTTTCTATAATCCATTTCTTTTCTTTTTGGACTTCATGATTAGAATAAAATAATGACGGATAGATGAAGTCAAATTATACGGAGTATTATCATAATTTAATTTGGACTCTAGGCTAATTTATTTTATAATTACATCACGTTAGTGAAATTTGCTGCTATAGCCTATTAGTTTTATTTTTATTTAATCATTTACATATATTCTTTTAAGAAGGTGTTTCACAACATTTACATTCTAGGATGGTACTCAACTGGGAGTGATGCTCAGGAATTTGATATGCACATTCACAAGGCTGTGAGTTTTCCTTCGCGTCTAAACCATGTTCTATTTAGTTACGTTTTATTTATAGATCGTTTTAACTGAAGCTGCCATTGGTCGAAATTTACATGAAGTCCTACATCTTCTGACCTCCTAAGATTTTTAAGTCTTTTAGATGCTATACATTAATTTCTGCCCGTTGTTCCAAACAAAAGATATTGTACATTAATTGACATCCAATGAATCTTTTGGCAGTTTATCAAAATTCAGGCTTGGGTGTTTATTTCCAAATTATTTATTTTTAATTTCCATCATTTGCAATGGAGCCAAAGCTTCACTTTTTTGGCTTGAGAAATTCAGGCATTTTGGCGTAATAAAGCAAAATGACCTACCAAACTGTCTGCGCTTCTTGTGTTTCTGAATTTGGTGGGGGGAAACCCGTGTAGGCTAGGCCACATTTTAGATAACATTTGATTGTACCTTTACTCAGTTTTCTTTAAGATGAATGACTTATGTGCAATGCATTTGCTTATTCTTGCAGGTAAGCTGGCCATACTGATTTAACAACTTTTTTTCTTACAGGAAATGTCATATTTTTTCTGGGTGTAAGACAGCTTGGCTTCGACCTTTAGATACTACCAATGACAACTCTCTCAGTGACTCTTGAAGTTCAGCAAGAAGGAAATAAAAAATGTTCCAACATTGAGGATTTCAGAGTATGAAACCAGCGCAGCTCTCGGTGGAAATTATGTGCAGATGCATAAGCTTGGAACAACTTCTTCACATATAATTTGTGAGCAGGGGCGGATCCAGGAATGAGGGGTGAGGTGGGCTAAGCAGTAAAAATTTTCGTTATTGCATGCAAAAGGTTTAGCTTAGTACTGATAATTATTGAACTGAGTTTTTTTCGAACTACTCGAGTTCGATCATGGTTTCGAATTTAATTTAATGACCAAAGCTTAACGAGCTTCAATCTCGAACACAGGCTAAATTTTAGCTAGTTTAAATAGTTTGTTTTTACAAAAAAAACAGCCGTTATTTTTTTGAGTTTGAATAGTTATTCAAGCTGAATTCGAGCATAGTCATGTTCAGTTCGATCTGGACTCGAGCATATTCATAACTTATAAATTATAGAAATAAACTATATACTACCTCCGACTTTTATTAAGACTAATTTGACTTTTCAAGTCAAAGAAGTTAAACTCTGAATGACTATATATTTATACAATAAAATTTATAATATGAAAATGAAATGGAAATGTTCTTTGTTAAAAAGTTTATCATAAAAGTATAAATTTAGTAAGTTTCACATTAATACATGAGTTAAAATGATGGATCAAAGTTTACCATCTTTGAGTAAAGAGTCAAAAATGGCTAAATAAAATGAGATAGAGGTAGCATATCTAAAATTTAAACGTTTTTAGTGTGATTTATAATTTTATTATTGATTATTAAAGATTTTAGTATTTATTGATATGAATTAAAATACTTCTATAAAACTATAAAACTAATAAGTAAAAATAGTCGATGTACATAAAACTAATAAGTATTCCCAATTTTAAAATTGAATTGAGATTTTGAATCCATTCTTACATGCCTAAATAGTAAATACATCATTTTCTATTCTTTAATTGCATTATAAATAAATCATTTTCTAATCTTTAATTCTATCTTTAATCATTATAAATTTATAATAATAAATAAAAACTATTTTACTATCTACTGAAAAAATTCAATTAATAATCAAATAGAATTACAAAGTTGGTAGACTTGGGCTGGGCTAGACATTAGTTTTGATGTGGGCTCGAAATTAAACCTATACCTATAATAATAAAAATATATTGGGTTGGGCTGGGCTGGAGCCCACCCCTGCCCCAACATAGATCCGCCCATGTTTGTGAGTTTGTTATCCCGTACAACAAACAGGTAGAACATAGAGATTTTTAACTATAATTACATAAAAAGTGACAATAGCCTTTTTCACATTTGATTCATCTCTTCTCCGATATGTTTTAAATGACTACAATAATCTTAGAGAAAAATGCATTTTTACTTTTATTTCTTCTCCTCTTTGACCAAGATTTAAAGCATATTAGTTACTAGAAAATAGAAATTATTAGTAGAAATTTATACTTGATTCCATTCTCAAGAACATGATGTCTTCATATAGATACATTCTGGACCTGCCTTTAAGTGGGAAACATAAAGTATGTTTTGCCTTCATTTTAAAACATAGTAATGGTAGTAAAACAATGACATTTTATCTTTGAATGTCCCCTTTTTTAGCTAAAATTTCAAAACATAGACATCAATTGGTAACGTAGATGAGACAAATTAAAGTTTTTCTTCTCTAAGGCTATAAGATTTTAAAACATAATAAAGATGCAAGAGGAAAGTGCGGCCTTTTTACCTTTTGCGGTTTTCTTCATGTTCTAAGATTTGAAAAGACGGTAGTGACAAGTATAGAAAAATTGCACTTCTTTCTCTTCTAGCGCCTCTTGGTCTATGATAATTGAACACAGTAATGGCATCAGATCAAAAAATGTTTTAATTACCTTCAAATCCTTCAATGCGTTTCTTCAACGTTGTAATGGTATGAAAAAAGTTGTAACTATACTTCCTCTATTTCCTCTGTTCTTGGCCCAATATTTTTAAAGCGCTAATGTTCTTAGAGAAAAATGCATTTTTGCTTTTATTTCTCTTCTTATTTGATTAAGATTTAAAGCACATTAGTTACAGGAAAATGGGAACTACAAGTTGCATTTTATATTTCATTCTCAAGTACATGATGCCTTGAGGCTTGAGATAGATGCGGTCTTGGGCCTGCCTTTATGTCGGCAACATCAGGTATGTTTTGCTTTTATTTTGATTGTCTCTACA